CGATGCCTTGACAATCAACTGAAATAAGCATGAGACTAATGCCAAGTTTCAAGACTTTCTCTAGACTAAAAAATTTCATACCGAATTAAACAAACTAATTGATCAAAAATTTAATTCATTTTCAAGAGACGAATTAACATTCATGTACAAATCAAATTAACATTGTTCACACTAATGAATAACGATGTAATGTACAACAATTGTAGACACTTTTTAAGAGAATTCACCGAAATAAGAAAAATAATGTGAAATGAATTGAAACTACAGGAGTATTGTAATACCGAAATAATATGATTCAGTGTTGGTAAAGTATGGAATTTCAATGTTTTAACAAAACTCAATCCTATTGGCTCGCCATTGCAACCTTCCTATGGCCTGAATTCTTTTCAAGCTATTATTATTTTTTTTGGTGGATTTTCTTAACTCAGTGCTACAATCTATAAACATACCTAAAATAGAGTTTTAAAAAACTATATATAAAATAAAATTGGAATGAGAGTATGGATAGGGAGTGAATACTAGGATTCTTTTGATTCACACCCTTGTCGCCACGATGTAATCAAAAATATTATGCAGATATTTTAATCAAAAAGATCTCGCATGGAACCTGCGACATATTATTATGAAAACATATTTCAAATCTACCGTTTGGTACATCTGTTATTCGGTTTAATAGAAAATCGAATAATTACTATTTTTCCGTTTTAATTTGAATTATTATTTTCAAGACAAGACGATGAGATCGATGGATCAGCCATCTCTGTAATGGCTCACCGAGAAATAATATAGAAAAAACAGATATACAAAAATGAATGAACTCATGATATTTTTTATTTTCGTATATTGACTAAGTACAATGAAAGAATTCAATTTTTCTCTTATGAAAAGTATTTTGAGTGTGAGTGCGACGAACAGATTCATAGGCATAACCACATCCATCCATACCCACACCCATTTCTCTTCGACTTTATAGAATCTGTTTTGTCTATTCAACAGGATTCCTATATTCATAATCCGGTGCAGCTGATGAGGTACCAAGAAAAGACAGCGAGAATTCGCAAACGAAAAACATTTTAGCACTTTTTTTTTTGGAGATTTCTTATCTCAGAATGGGAATAGATAAATTGAAGCTGAGAGTTGATCTGCGTGGTGCCTACTGTTTTATATGATTGCTTTGTCTCATCTAAACAAAATTTGCATCATCGTCAGAGAAAATAAACAGTGGAACAAAAAGCAAGAGAGTGCAATAAAGAAAAAAAATAACTAACTCTCTGTTATCAATATCTTTTCGCAGAAAGAAAAGGAAAAAATGAAGCCCTTTTGTGAGTTTATTTACTTTGTGTCATTTTCCCTCACGTCTTCAATGGGAAGTCATATACTCGTCAAAAATGGTAATAACAAGAGCAAAAATCATAAAGAGAGATATGTGATTACGAAAGAAAAACTAACTATTCTTAACTATCAATCTCTGTGTATTGGTTCCAAGCTTCATGAGGCGGTATCTTGCCTCATTTATATATACCAGATTCTTCTGAAACATCTCAATCGATTTCCAATGGATAGTTTTTCTGATTTTCTTGTCTTAACGATAACTTTTCAACAGATCAAATCAACAAAAACACAAATAAACTAGAGGTGTACAACTCACGCTCATACTCATGTAAATGCTTACTGATTCGTTCAGTATCAGAACAACTTTCATTTTTTTCATCATTTGCTCGGAAATTATTCATGTTTGACGATTTTTGTTTAAACCAAAGTACACTTCAAAGCAATAGCATCTAAACTGTATGGTTTTTCAAGCATCATCAACTCAGATTGGAGGAGAACACAGTTACATTGATGCAGACAAACCATACCGTATTCTATCATATATTTTCCTGTGACGGCTTTATTGTCAAGACCATTTTTTTGTTCTTTCTGCTTTCTAACTAAGCAGTATTCTCTTCTTCAATGACGATAAAGAGAAAAGAAACTGAAACATGATTTGACGAAAACATATAGACACCAGCACTCATGCTGCGCTTTTTCAAAACCATATTCAAATCTTATGTAAGAAAATATATTGTTCATTGAGTTTTTTTTTACATCTGTCGTCCGAACTGACTTTTAGACATTGAAATATCAGAGAATTTGTTTTGTGCTGTCTAGAAATGACAATGTTCGGTTCAGAGTAAATATGACATTTTTAACTTTAAAGATAGAATTAAGTATTTACTTTAACTTCACCATTAAAGTTAAAGTGAGTCGATTTTCCATTCTTTCATATTCAATGAGGTATGGATTTTTAAAGCTGAGAAAGTGGCAGAATGGTCAAGCAAAGCTAATCAAAAAACCGTAATCGGTAAAAATCCCTATGTTTCAGATTTATTCTCTTTAAGTTTCATTCATCTATCGACTAAATGACCTCTATACAGTATGGATGCAACTAAAAATTATCAAGAATTATCGTCGAAGGGGAAAATATAAAAACTAAAAGACAAGATACTTTACTTTAACTTTGATTTTAAAGTTAAAGTGAGTAATTTAACTTTAACTCTTAAATCAAAGTTAAAGTGCTAGATCTATTTCAAACTGAGTCAAATATTGTATCTTCGAAAATAAAGGGATCATTCTCTTTCTTCTTACGCTATGTTTTTCACTTTCCTTATTTGCCTTCTTCAAAGCCAAAGGAGAGGTATATCCTATTTTATATGGATCTAAGTTTCAGAAGTTGTTCTATATACACCGTTATTGCATATCTTTTTGAAGAATATTACAGGTCGTTCACTTTATTTCGAAACGATTTACATCGAGTTTTTCTTTATCAGTGACTTATCGAGATCGGATGATTTTCATATCAGTCAATTTTACATACATTGCAAATGTTGATATAATATTCTTAGTTTGAATAAACCAGTGTCTGATAATAAAGTATCTGATAGTATTGAAGAGTACGTGAAATATCCATCTTTCGACTGAATACCATTTATGTTTTGTGAAATAGGAATAATTATCTGAAATGCATTTGTATATATCAAAAAGTATCATTGGGAGTATCTGTAACAAGCTTGAAAAAACAGTTTCAGTTAAGTTACTAACCATGTCATATGGATCCTCACATTATTTTTGTAAGTCACATGGCGTAATTGATAATACATACGCTGTACACTAATGATCATCTCTTTTTAATGATAGATGGATATCAACGATCTACTGTTTTTTTTATCACGTTCTTGTATATGAATTATATCACGAATAGTACCCAAGATCGTATCAATACTATTAGGACATCTCATAACAATTAACTAACTAGTAGGAGAATGTTCTTTGTCTGGATGTGATGCATTAGGGTGAATCAATTGTATGTGTTGCCATATGGTATCGACGATAAATTTCAGATTTATACTGTTTAATAAAGCTGATTCGGACTGTTTTTTTAATCTTTTTAAAGACACATCTAATGGTACTTTTTAATATATACAAATGCATTTCAGATAATTATTCCTATTTCACAAAATATAGATGGTATTCCGTCAAAAGATATTTCACGTACCCTTCGATACTATCAGATATTTTATTATCAGACACTGATTTACTCAAACTAAGAATATTATAACAACATCTACAATGCATGTAAGATAGGCTGATATGAAAATCATCCGATCTTGATAGGTTACTGATGAAAAAAAATTCGATGTAAATCGTTTCGAAATAAAGTGAACGACCTGTATGTGGACGGTTTTAACAGATTTTATCAATCATTTTGTTTAACTTGTTTTTTTTTCGTTTCAGCAATCTTCTAAGGGATGTGTTCGGTCAAATAGTCTCTTTTCACTACTGTGATGCAATCTTTATTCGATTCGTTATGTAAGAATTTTCAATCTTGCATAATGATGTTGACGCAAAGACGTTGTCCGTGCCGATAAATTCATACATAAATTCTGAATTGCATAAAGAGAAACTTGCTTCCATTAGATTCTATTGATAACATAGTGTATTTATGTATGAGAGTACAACATGTGACATATATGCAGGGCTGCCAAATCCAAATTTAAAAAACCAGGAGTTTTTTGCGAAAAATCAGGAGAAAAATCCGAAGTTTATTGCAATCAGAAAATGAGTTAGTGGTCTTCTCTCAAAGAAAACTGAAGTTTTCGTTCATCTAATCACTCGTTATGTTCTTCTATTAAGTTACTGATGACAAAATTTCCTGTAAGTGATATATATTTTTAAAAAAACATAATTATGTGGAATTT